ACTGTGCTGTACTGATAAGGATGAGCCACGCCCACCGGAAGTATCGGGGGYGTTGGTCTGCTATGTTTTGGAATCAATGTAGGCGGTTGCCTTAGAAACATCCTCGATGATGACTTTTCCCTGTCACCGTCTTTCTTTCCTTCATCACCAGTACCCTCCGAAAGAGCACTWGAAACATCACCTTCATTTGACTGGTTCGAACTTTCCTTCTCTAAGTTAACCCAACCAACATCATCATTGCTGTCCTTTTTTATACTGTTAGATTCTTCGGATTTGGGACTATATTGTTGTAAGTTATAAGTAGTAGCGGTAGTGGTGATAGCACTTTTTGGAGAGCTAAAAGACACTTTAGAGCTGGATTCATTTCGGCGCTGTTTATCAACACTAAGATTCCCCGTTGACCCGTAATTCTTAGATCTAATGATATCCCCCRTAAAGCTCTCTCCTTTGTGCTCCTCCTTAGGACCTCTAGTATGTATTGACGATGTCGTACAATCCCGATCAAATCCCGCAGAACCCGTATAGCTAGGTCCTACATTTTCCACAACGCTCGCCACGGGATCTTTATGTGTGTTCATTGTAGCTGCCTGTAAGTCGATAGAGTTCGCATTCTTCTCCGATAAATTATCTTGTTTTATTAAGTCAGGGTCTCGTATTAAAGCCAGAGTAGTCACAGCATTAGTATTAGTGATATTGGAAGCAGTCCGACTATAAGCTTCATCGCCATAGCTTCTACACGTAAAGTATTTAAAACGACTTGATGGAGTGTCGGTATTAGTCAAAGGTGGTTGTAGTTTACTTGCAGAGATGCTACGAGACACAAGGTTTTCTACACTCATAGACGACGGCGAGTTACTAAAAGATTTCTCAAGCGTTTCGTGTTCTGACTTAGCAGACAAGGAAGGGACAGAATCAGCCGAAATTTTGCTGTCGTCTCGATTCTCGCCCGCTACTCCAATCAAAGGCCGCGTGGCGACCTCTAACTCAGAATCAATCGAATTCTCTGTAATCTGATCAGCATCCTCATCGTTCAACTGCCTATTCCGTGGAAGAATCGAGAAAATATCTTCAGTACGACTAGTATCAGTAGTTGTTGCACCATCCTCGCTGGTTTTATCTCTGTTAGTTAGTCCAAAGATCAAACTAGGATCTTTTAAAGAAGAGAGCATTTGTAAGTTATTTTCTGTGCTCATAGAAGCGACGAACGAGCCAGTCTGTAAATTTTCTACWGCCTTTTCCATTTCTTCTCGACTGTTGAATTCTGTGTCTGAAAAGAAATTTTGTGAAGATAAACAAATGGATTTTTGATAAAGGTGAACTGGTCTATGTAYAGCAGTTTCCTACCCCTTTACCCTAATTATATTGGTTTGTACGCGTTTTCGTGGACCAAACAAATAGGAAACAATTTCAAAGTCACTACACTCTGTTAGAAGCAAGCGCGCGAAGGCAACAGGAAGCCATTTCACTGTCATTGTACGCAGTGGTGTATACGTTGAATATTGGGCCCCCATCGATGCGTAACATGCAATGTGTTTGGATGAAGCAAGCGTGTGAAGGCAATGGAAAGACAATTCACTGTCATTGTTCGTAGTGTGTACACGTTGAATATTGGGCCCCCATCGATTTGCARCCTGCAATGTGATTGGATGAAGCAAGCGCGTGAAGGCAATTGAAAGCCATTTTACTGTCATTGTACGCTTTGGTGTACACGTTGAATATTGGGCCCCCATCGATAATGTGATTGGATGAAGCAAGCGTGTGAAGGCAATGAAAAGCCATTTCACTGTCATTGCACGCAATGGTGTACACGTTGAATATTGGGCCCCCATCGATGCGCAACCTGTAATGTGATTGTATGAAGCAAGCGTATGAAGGCAATGGAAGCCATTTCACTGTCATTGTATGCAGTGGTGTACGCGTTGAATATTGAGCCCCCATCGATGCGCAACCTGTAATGTAATTGGATGAAGCAAGCGTATGAAGGCAATGGAAGCCATTTCACTGTCATTATACGCAGTGGTGTACACGTTGAATATTGGACCCCCATCGATACGCAACCTGCAATGTGATTGCATGAAGTAAGCGTGCGAAGGCAATGGAAAGCCATTTCACTGTCATTGCATGCAATGGTGTACACATTGAACGTTGGGCCCCCATCGATGCACAACTTATCTCTCAAGTCTGCACACGTCATTGACTTCAATGCCACCACACGTCGTGATTACAAACCACCCCTACAATGGCTTGCAAGTTTTCTATCATATCTTACCTTGCCCAGGATCTATATCCTCTTCGTTTTCACTAATATCCTCCACTTCAATTCCCAGCTGATTTATACTACCAGTCGTCAACATTATCTGTCGTCTGTCGTCTTTAKAGTCAAAGACAGAATCGACCTCGCTTTCTTTACCAAAATCTTGGCTCTCAGCTTTTTCTAGCTTAACATTGTCATCCATAGCCTCGCTTTGGCTACTAATGACATCATCAATATTCACAGACCCAGAYTCCTCGTATTTTGTATTACTGATACAGCCACTGTCAAGGACAGTCACACACACTTCCTGTGTGTCTGCCACTTCCGGTACTTCACTTGCTGGTATTACCATCTCTAGGGAGATCCCAGTGTGCTTGTCGCACGGATATGACGTCACTTCTTTTGATTCTCCAGTAGAGTTCATCATACGAGTATCCGTTGACTTGTCGGCAACTTCAACGAATTCTCCTTCAATGCTATGTTCTTGGGTTTTCACATCGCATACCTCGCCATTTTCTTCGGGACTTTCGTTTACGTCTATTGTATTACTTTTATCATCAATATGTTCCTCCTTTTTAGGTTCTTCTTTCTGWTTTTTATCCACAACTTCATTATCATCTGGCTTTTTCTCAGGTTCCGCATCCCATAAATTTGCAGGCTCATCCTCGTCTTTGATTGGCTCGTTCTTAGGTTTCTTATCGGCTTCTGTATTACTGACATCTTTATCGATGTTAGTGTTGTTTTTGTCCTGTGTAATGGAAGGCGATTCACTGCGGTTTCTGGATGACGCCCTGCCTTTTGTGGTTATTCTTGGATCAGGTTCTTTGAATTCATCGCTTGGGGAAGGAGTAGTGCTGGATCTATCGTCCGAGTTCGCATCCTGTAATAAAGCAAACGTCATAGGGTGTAAAATTCTATCGTTAAAAATATATAAAACCGCCTTATGCATTTTGTTTTTATAGATACCCACTGTAGAGCCATCCTAACACAGCTTGGGAAGTGAATGATGTCGTTTGGAAGTGAATGGTGGGAGAGTTTGGTTAAAAGCAAGGAAGGCCATGTCCATACTACTCTAGCTCTTCCTCTTATGATTCAGTACACATTTTTCTTGTCCTGCCTCACCCCACACCATCTTTTCCCTGTTTATTCAAATTTTGGTCGCTTACGTTTTAACGCCCTCCACCTCTTAATGCATGAAAATCCGTTGTCCTCATTTCTATCAATCCTCCACTTCCCCTCTCCTGATGCCTATTATCTCAAATCCCTTTTTGCTCGTCACCGAAAGTTGAAACTTATTGCAAGCCCCAAATCTCACCAGTTTTGCTTGGTGAATAGACGATGCAAATCCAGCAAAAACAGAACCAGAAAGCTGCTTCTACTTTTGGTGCGAACGASTGAAGTACTAGCTGACAAAAAAGTCCGACACGCGAGGAGCATAGCCATAGTTAACTTACGTCATCCTGAGTCTTAGATTCCAGGTGCGCATGGGCCTGATGATACCGCAGACCATTAATATGTTTGTATTTCTTCTCACAGCCTGGTTCAGGACATTCGATAAGAGTTGGTGATGGTTGAGGTGATGGAGCCCCTTTCATGGTACAACTTCTTTTTCCGGGTCTTATCGAGTCGTCACTATCATCATCGTTGTTCTTTGCCTTTCTTTTACTTGAACGAAAGCCAGTCCTTTTATCAGTGGAACTTCCTGACATGGTTTTCTTTCTCCCACGTAGTTTTTGCTTTAGGGGACTCACTAGAAAATAATAACCACGACATTCAATTCAGCGTGTGCAACCATGTGMCTCAAAACCCCTTAAGATATGAATAACAATGAAACAACCGCCATGTTGGTTGATCAAACAAGAGAAGCTAATGAGGAATGCTTTGTTATCGTCAACCAAGATGGCGGCAATGACGTAACATGCATATGCTCTATACTCAACAATTCACGTGGTCTTGAACGGTAAAACATTACAACCAAGGTAAAGAGGTGTATTGTCACTTTCAATCAAAATATAGCTTTAAATATCTTGAGGATATAAATATTACAAYCAAAAAAGCCACCTTTCCCCCACCCCCAGGGAAATGTTTGTCTTACCTGTATGATTATTAGCATTATCTCTGTTTACTGATTCATTTCTCAATCTCCTTCCTCTTCCCTTGCCTTTCCCTCTGCCATTATTTTTGCCCAGTCTTGTTTTGCCTTGATTACTACTGTCTGATGACTGAAATCTGTTGGGAAAATACAATGCATATTTATTCAAAAACAGGGCAAACCGTATTGTTGTCTGTACAGGCCTATGTGTTGTTTGTTTGCTTTATGAGAAAAAAATTCAAGACTGGTAAGGACTGGGCTGCCTGTGGTAACACAGACACAGGTAGCCCAAACCATAGTTAGAGATCACTTTCTATGCCCAAATAAATGTTTCAAAATGCAAGGATGAAAAGGTTGGATCATAGACCAAATTCATCTTTTGTGTTACGTTTACAGGTACCTATTTCATACAACCTCACTCCCWAGAATATACATACAACTGAAAGAAAGAAACTTATCTTCAAGAGAATGACATGTGGTCTGAAATAGGTAAACATTACACCAAAATGAATTAGGACTACAGTCAACTCTCTTTGAATAGCCACATTCATAAACAACGATCTCCCTTAAAGGACCACCTTTTCAAATCCCCGTTTTGAAACATCTCTTATAAGCAAACACTCTCGTAAACAACCATAGATCCTGTAAGTACCACTTAATCCTCACCCCTCGATGTTTAGCTTATGAGAGAGTCAACTGTATTTACAAATTAAATATCATTTCCCCCATTAAAAAAAGTGATTTGATATCCTAATCCAACTTGCAGTAAAAAAAATGGCGCTACTATTTAACTGTTTAAATGGGAGGCTATCTTGTGGGATACATACCTGGGTCTAGCCCAAGAATGCCTAGTACAATCCATAAGAGAACCACAATAAATCTTGTTACGCCACTTTATGTTCACTACTAAAACACCTAGAGGCAGAACAAAAACAAAACTTATTAGAAACCCAAGCTTCCATTCAAAAGATAAACCTTTAGCTTATCACCAAGACTCAATTGCCCTATTTCCCTATGACGTCACTGCTTGTTTATGTGGGGGATAGAATTGCAAAATCCAATAGAAAATACAACAAAATTTGCTCCTAGCGAAACAGTTTAATCTAAAATGGCCTTATTTTAAGATAATATGTGTTAATRTGTACTAAAAAATATTCTGAGCATTTGCTGGCTATTCTACTTCTCTTCGTGGATTGATACGGGTTTTTAGAACAATTTTCGGTGAATTTGAGTTGATTTGACCCCCTCCGACAACCATGATCCTTTGCGTTTAAACAATAGATTGCTTTGATGTGACGTCACAGTGAAATAGGGCAATTCTAACCTGAGAATTTGTTTAATAATCATGAAACACTTCAATTCAAAGCAGATTTCATCTTACCTCCCATTGTCTCATGGYAGATAACTCCCTCCAGGTTTACTGGGGTACCTGATGGAGCAGGTGCTAACGTCATCTCAGAGGTCCCTGAATTCATCATCACCACAGATGTATCATCTGAACCCTATCATAATATTAAGTACCATTAACAATTGTTACAAACATTTTTAGACATATGGTGTGTACCAYAACGAAAGCATGTTAGACTTTTTTACAAGATTAGTGTCAAAACATRTTCAGTAATATTATTAGCAATAAATTAGAAGACATACCTTAATGTTCAGTGAGCTCAAGAGTTTTTCATTGATGCTATCCATACTATTAGCAGTTTTGTCTCGCCCRTTTGCAGTTTCATCTTCATCTTCTTCTTCATTTTTATTATCCTCATCATCCTCTTCCTCTTCCTCCTCTTCCTCATCCTCTTCTTCATCATCATCATCTTCATCTATATATTCATCATCATCATCGTCATCACTGTCATCATTGTCTTCACCATTTCCATCAGCTCCTGAGTTTCCATTACTAGAATTATTGTCATAATTTTGATACCTTCCACTTCTTCTAGTGCTACCTCTACTACCACCACTATTGGTTGGCTGTGTTGGCTTATACTGCTTATCTACACTGCGCCGACGGCCTCTGCTGACGACTTTCATCCCAGATCCAGGAAAAACAGAACCATTTGCCATACTTGTTTCCTTCTTATGTGGAGTTTTGTTTTTGGAAAAGACCATTGAGATTGAATCAGAAGTGCTCTTWATTGTTGCTGTGAAGGATGTCTCTTCATCCAAACACTGTGGTAAGTTGGTTATASTATCATTGTCAGGTGTTTCATCATCTTTCCATTCTTCAAAGCCATTTGTTATAATCCCAGTAGCTGGGGGTGATACTATCTTTTCCACAGATGTCCGAGTGTTAATCTCTGGGACAATAACTGTCATGATATTGATGGACACAGTCAAATGCTATTTTCTGCTTTTCATATTGTTATTCATATCTGCAAAAGAATTGAATAGAAAACTTTAATATTATACCATAAAGTGCTACTCTGACGAAAATCGCTCAAACTWGGATTCAGCTGAAACTTCCTAAGAATACTCTTTAARGGTCCAATAATCACTGTATGAAGTGWTTTCTCRATATTCAGGAAGAAAGTATGATATTTTTACGATYATTTTTGGAGTCTGTGACGTCATAGACTCAACATCGAACTTCGCTCCATATATTCTTTGTATACAAATCCTTAATTTATTTTATTCCTAAGAAGCCCAAAGGGTGGCTAATGTGCTTATTTTACATTACTTGTGACTATAATATATATTTATGGGGTGTTTGGGTATTTCTTTATCAGCTTTACTACTGATATTTTGACCATAAACTACWAAGAAATGTATGGAGCGATGTTCAATGTTGAGTCTATGACGTCACAGACTCAAAATAATAATTGTAAAAATATCATACTTTCGTCCTGAATATCGAGAAAACACTTCATACAGTGATTATTGGACCTTTAAAGAGTATTCTTAGGAAGTTTCAGCTGAATCCAAGTTTGAGCGATTTTCGTCARAGTAGCACTATAAAAAGAATCAAATTTACAAAACATCAGCATCAACTTCATTTAACTTTCATTATCCTAACACGAAATACTAAGTTCAAAACTGAAAAATAACTATAATAAGAATCAAATCCAACAGAAAAAAGTATAAATAATCACAACTAGCAAATAAATTATTAATTTTGAGGTGAGACTTGAAATCACATTTAATCTTAATAGGATGTTTGCATGACCGCATCATTTGACTCCCACTACCATAAAGCTCCACAAATTTTCTTCATTATTCAAATTTTTATTTCCTCATGAGAATAGTAAGACAATTGGTGTTAATTGACAGAACAAAAGAAAGAGCGCAAGGGAGTCTGGTAGTAGGAGTTAAATGATGCCATCATGCAAATTTTCTATTTATATAGATGTTTAAAAGGTGGTAGGATAAATATTGACATTATTCATGTTKCTGTTCTATGTTTATGCATGTGTGGCATTATATCTTCTGAATTGCAAATTAATCATAAATCAAAAGTACTTAACTAATAAAGACACCTATTTAAATCTATTAGAATTAATATAAATAAATATTTTATATCTAAAGAAAGTATTAAAAGAACTTTAATTAAATRAAACATTGATATAAAACCAAAATGTCAAAATCATTCATCCACTGATAATAAAAATGAGCTTATTGTCTGATATCTGACTTATTTCCTCTTTTGACTCCTTCAGGGAAGTCAGTGTGTAGGAGATAAACACTCAAGTGTATTTAACATACTTCCTATCAAAAGTGTTATTTTGTTCTCTTGAAATATAGAACAAAATRACTAATATGGATTGATAATTTATGATAGACGAATCTTTCTACAAAAACGTTTTATTAATTTATCCATTTAATCAATTTAGAATGTTCAAATATTGATTTTCCTAATTAAAAAAAAAGAATTAAATAAATAATATGGATTGGCAATTTATGAAAGATGAATGTCTCCCAAAAAAAGGTTTTTCATTCATTTAATCTTATCAAAAAATTTCATTTTGTCATTTCGTTCTCTTAAAAAAATAGAATGAAACAAAATAATAATATAGATTAATAATCAATGATAAATGAATGTTTCCTCAAAATAGGATCTCCTTCATCAATCTTATCAGAATTTTAAATTTCACTTTATTATTTGATTTTATTATTCAATTTAATTGGATTTTTAAAATATTGATTTTATTTATTTGTTTTCTTAAAAAAATAGAAAAAATTATTGATATATAAATTTTTTAATTATGCTAGAGAATATTTCCACTAAAGGGTTTCTTCAACCAATGAATCAAGTTTGAATCTAGATTTTATCATTTTCTTCTTCAAATGAAACCAATAAAACAAAACATTACTTTTTCAACTAAAGATTATGAGGAAAAACCTAACAAACAAATTAATGTTCATTTTAAAGTTGACATCTATATTTGTATACTACCTTTTGATAAATGAATAAACTTAGAAATTCAGTTGAGTATTATATTAAAAAGATTAGGCTATATCAGCCTAATCTGTTATTAAATTAAAGGTAAAAATACCTTTTAATCTTCAAGATATAAATGTTTCCAAATTATCCTAAAAATAAAATAGATRTCTTGATAAATTTGACATTTTTTTATGATATCTCAATTAATATCAATTTTATATACCATAAAATATTACATGTATATGTCTTAAATTTCATAAAATAAGARGAACTAGCTTAATTTTTTCTTTAACCAGATCTCATCTGTTTTCCCAATCCAAGTGGAAGGTATAACCTTAGACTTGATAGATAAGAAACCAATAAATTTTATCAGATTAAAAAATAACTTTATCTTTTCTAATCCTTAGCAATTTGAAASTCATATTATTCATGCAAGTAAACGAGTCCTTACAGTGACAGTGTGGAAAGGAAAGAATTAAGAAATAATAGTTTGTGGGGCGAGTGAGAGCATCCAAGAAATATTTTTTTGCAATACAATTTCACTAATTATTTGAATCAATTGCAAAAATTACTTTTAAGATTAAAAAGTGACACGAGAAATTGATATAATTTTGTCAAAATTAATTTCTGCAGGCAAAGACAAATATTCATTTATTTATTTTTCTACCTTTGGCACGAATATAATTGAGCCATACTTTTATAGATTGGTGTGGTCAAAGCTACTTTACAATGTTAATTTGTTTATGTCTTTCATTGTATTGTTAGGTTCTATTTTAGTCTATATTTTTAGCATAGTTTTAATCAGAGCTCTAATTTATATTCCAGTTGTAACATAGCCTATAGTTTATCACTTATTATTATATATCATATATTATATATTTTTTAATGCTAATATAATAGGTATGATTTATTGATAAAAATCAGGTTTTATTGATAATACCAATTTATAAAAAATTAAATGATGTTGAATCACAAAGCTCTAAATAAATAAATAAAGTTAAAGTTAACGCAAATAAACAACTGTACAAATGAGTCTCTGGCCTTCAAAAACAAATTTCRAATTCAAAACTGGTGTATTGTAGTAATGTTTTGCAACATATAAATTTACAAAATTTCAAAATAAGAAATAGGGATTAATTACTTTTTAAAGCAAAACTGGAGCAATTAATTTAYTGTTTTGTATATGCAGACTGACATTTTTGATAATACCTTGTTGGTATACACCTAATTAAAAAAAAGTTGTCGGGTTCAAAAAAAGGTTATATCATCAAAGCTAAGGGGAGCATGGGAAAAAAAAAAGAATTACGCTAATTTCATGTGTATTGCAGTTTTCCCTTCCTGTGCACATTTTATGCATCATGGCCTTGGCATGTTGTTAATCTAGGTCGACCGACTTTGCTCTACTGTGCATTTTTACATGTCTATATGCAAATATAATACACATTTCGGAGTACCCAAAATCCTTTTTGGTCTTAGCTTCAATGATATAAACCTTCTCGAGCCCGACTATGTTTTTTCAATTAGGTGTATACTTAAACAGTTATTCTAATCAATTTAGAGGGCTTTAGGATCGAATTATTGTGAGAAATATTTCTAATCAATTCCTATATGTTATTTCTTTATTTTTACTTTTATACTTTTTTACTTGTAATTAGGTGTAATCAAATAAGTAAATAGATAAATAATTTGATATCATAGTTTTATTAAAAAAAACATTTTGTTAATATATAAATATGAACTAAACTAGTTCTATGAAAAGAACATTTCTTATTTTTATTGCTTAGATATGTACATCAACAATTATCATTAAAATGATAATAACATCAAGATAAGTAAGTCAAAGCAGTTGGTAATTATCATAAGAATAGCTGCCAAAAACACTACTCTCTACCTGCTGTGAGAAGATTAAAATATTTTTGTTATTGATATTGTTTATCTACATATATTTAAATGCCTGATAAATAACTTTTTGATCACAATTACTTTGTCTCCATTAAAAATATATATTTATACATTTTGTGGGCATATATTTTCAATTTGGAATATAACTAAAAGATGATTTGTTTTTAATCGTTTTAAAACTAAATATATATGAAAAAGAAAGATGATTCAAATCATTTTCTTTTTCTTTTTCTTTAATTTTTCAAAGAAAAAAGACTTAGAACATACAATAGGTCTTTCTACTTTGGGGATAACAGCATGTGACAAGGAAGGTAGAGAGATGTCCACTTAACTTTCTAATTGTTTAAKAGGTTATGAAAAACAGTTTCCCGTGAAATCTCTTTCTGCTGATGCGAGAGTTTAATAACACTAATGTATGCGCATTTATATACCCTATAATAATAAAAAGTATAAAAACTAACAATTATATTAAAGTCATGGCTCAGTAACTTATCGATCACAGGTCTTTGACATGCTTGGCTTTGTTTGGAATTCATTATAATGAGTATGGATAACGTTTCGTCTGTGAGAATTCAAAGTCTAACAAGCATAAATAAACGGAGTTGTCTATATTAAAATTCACTGACAAACCATAAAGGAAATTTTAGAATTATGAAAGAAAAAAATTTGAACACCTTTAGTCTATTGAACAGATGTCACTAAATATTGATCTTTGTGGGGACTTGAGACGTCTTTAATAACCATTTCTAAAGAAGGAATGCAGTCACAATCGATTAACGAGTTTATCGTATAATGYGTTATCAATTGTTCAAACAAAAATCTGATTGGCTGAATGGAACACCCTTAGAATAATAATACAAAGAGAAAAGACTGGCTTGCACCGTGTCGAGTTGTGAGATTTCGGTAAATAGCAGACATTAATAACGCGACTTCARAAGTGTCAAAAAGCAACATCGCCATGGAAATATAACCTTGTAAAAACTATGATAATATACGGAAATGGCGAAATAATTAATTTATAGAAAAACAATTTTAAGTAAACAAATTGTACGAAATATGAATTTTCGAATCATCCCCAAAGATTAGAGACATGAATAGCCCGGTTTTCATTGGCTTAAATAAAAACTCTGCAGTCTTTGTAAAGATCAAGATCATATTTCATATCTCGGTCGAAACARAATTTTCAAGACAATTTCGAATGAAAAGGAAAGCGATACAAGAGGGTAAGATAATGCTTCGAAAAAGTTGAAGCGCGATGACAGACATTTTCCAAAAGGTCGCAGCCTTAAAAACAAAACAATTTAATCAAGACTTTTAATTCCCACTATAAAAATATAAAATGAATAAACCCTCTTCAAAATTTTATGAAAATTTACGATTCAAGACGGAATATTGATTTGCCGATATTTTTGGCACGGTTTTTAATTACAGTCAGCGATAACGATCGGCAGGAATATATAAACCTTTTTTTTCAGACAATTATAGTAACTGGACGAAAAACATTTAATGCTATAAATTTGTAATATTTCGCTGACATAAACATACTTATGACTTTTTTTTTATCATCGTTTTTCTTAATTTTATTTTGGACAATTAAAAATATTTTATTGATGTTATCCCCGTGTATGATAAATTTTTGCTAGTGGGTTGATAAAATATGTGATGTCTAGCGCCAGCAGCGTCGTTTTTTATAGCAGACAGCTTGTCAGTAGAAAATATGGTTCAACTTTACTCGGATGATATAAAACAGTCCACTGCCTCGAGGGTAGTTTACCATGGTAGAAGAGGAACTCAAAGCCATAATAATATACACCAAAAATTATTATTCTCAGAATGTCCTAGAAAAGATGGTATCTCAGAGTAGACGGGGTTTAATAAAAAGGGGATGTATTTTAAGTGGAAGGAGATCGAGAATTCGAGGATTATAGCAAACAGGAAGGAGTTGAGTTAGTTTTATGAAAAGCACGTCCATGACTTGCTTGAACATCGACCTCACGTTTTTGAGCCCTTCGAATTAAAATTCTATATTGCTTTGAAAATAAAGGGATTTTCTGCTTACAGTTACTTAGATAAGAAAATCGAAACTCCAATTATATGATCTTGTAAGGGGCTGTTGGGTAAAGATTATTAGTGCAGACAAAACTTTTTTGAAATGTGACAAAATTAGAAATTCAAATCTGTGCTGTTTGTTATTCATCAACAATATACCACGAGTGTTGGGTCGTGTAAAAATACGAATTTCGAAGACATTTCGAAAAGAAACAAAACCAAATTAGTACACAATATGTAAAAAAGACTAAGGAACGAAATGGCATAGGTTTTTCGCTGAAAATTCAAGTGAGAACTCTGTCAAGACAGTTTTTATCGCGCTTATGATCGTACATGCTTCGAATGCTTGCTCGGACAACATAAAGAAGTAAAAACGCCAATGGCGTTTAAAATACCTGTAAAACTGTAGAGTTTTTGATGTAAACGTGTCCCCGGATACTTGAACTCGATGTGTGAAGATTTTCAAGGCTTTAGGTAGACGAAATGAGTGATTTTACGGCCAAAACATGAGACAAGTCTGAAGGCTGTGCATTAAAAGGCCCGGGCGTTCTTGTGAGCTTGCTGACCATAGGAGAACAATTGATGATCGAACCAACCAATCGCAGCGCCGTATCTATATGGGTATTGTCACGCTTGACATGCAATATGCCGCGTGCTTCAAAAACCACAGTTAACCCAAAACAAATTAACAAACTGGCCACTAAAATCTCTAATATATTTAGCCCTCACATGATATACAAGGAAATATACTTGAAAGTATAGCGTGGCTTGTATGGGCTTGGTGGAATATCCACTTTAGATATTGTCGGCTGTTTTTGATGGCATTAAAAATGAAATACTAGCCAAGACAATGTGTGAAACTTATTACCGAATCCGCGGTACAACTATATCGAATACTCCGAAGAAAAAAATGATTGTAATGAAGTTCGGATCATTCGGATGGGTAAAAAGCTTTGCTTAGATCTCATAAAAGCACTCGAATTTTAAAGCGATTGCGAGATAAAAGCAAGTTGTGACTGCAATGTTAAATATGGTTCACAGTGATTATTTTAAGCTTTGTCGTAGTTTGTAAATGACCTTGATGGAATGACGTCATAAGTGTATATTAATTCCTGTTGGCTGGTTGAAAAACATAATCGCTTGAAAAATACTTATCATTAGTAAAGAAAGAGGAACGACCTTGAACAACAAATCTCATGAACAGAGCAAGCCGGAACTTGCAGATAATTCGAGAAAAAGTTAAATAGTAACTTTTCATCGAAAGAAATGAAATCATAAGAACTCGCGTTTCACGTAATAAAATAAAACAATTTATTTTTTATTTTAGTTTTGTTATGGCTTTTATAGTTATTCCACTGATTTTTTAAGATTCTATTTTGTGGCGTAAGAGATATAAAATCGAGGTACAAATCGGTAAAAGATGTTTTGAAGTTCGGTCCGAATCGATAAATATTCAACTGAAACGGATCACCAGCGCTGCACGAAACGATATAGCGCTTTTGTTTTCGTTATTATTTTATGGACAATGCGTGGCTGACCAAGTAGAACCCTGAATTTCAAGTATCTATGATATGATAATCAGTTAAGGGGAACACGAGGGATCAACCCACTTCTTTTTTGATATGCTAATGTCGGTTGCTATGACAATCTTGACGTCACACACTTGAAATGTTTTTCGACATTTCTGTCTACCGCTTTTAGAACATTGTCTCAGCCGGAAATGTTGAATTACATAAATTCAATTATTAACAAAGTAATATTGAAGTTTGTGACAGTTTTAGCTTGAGTCGATTATACCACGTGATCTTAATGGGAATTACGTATAATATAAAAAAATATTATTTTGGTCTCTTTTTATTTCGGATAGAAGCTTCATAAAAAATCCAAGAATAAAAATATAAGAAGAGATAACTAGATAAAAACTAGTGTGAGCTGCGTCGGTGTTTATAATGAAACAGTAATGATAAAAAGGTAAATTATACACCGTGAAAAGATGAAAACACTTACTGACGTTTCGGACGTTCATGACATGAAATTTTCGAGTCACCCCCAAAAAAATAAGGAATATTAAAAGCGATTTTTTTCTTCGAAAATCGCGAAATTAAAGGTGTCGCGGAAATTTCAGGTAATGAACTGCACATTAGCAATCTTTGTTTTTTCCCCGTTTGTCCTAATTAAAGAGGAACATGAATAGGTAAAATGAGAGCTGGGGTTCGCCTTTTTGGGGCTGAGACTTTATACTCTGCTCTCTCAAACAATCTAAAACAATCAAAAAATGGGAATGGGATTGAGATTTGACTGAAACATAGGCAGGGACGACTATGGGATTTGGTCAAAATAGAGGATTGGAAATGGGATTAGGATCCCCCCCCTTCCCATTCGCTTCAGGACCCTCTTCTTCAAATATCATTTGCAAGTGTTCTAAATATATATAAAATCTCATTTGTTGAAAATATTTTTCATTTCGAGAATTAATACTGTCTTTATGCAGCTGACTAAAAAATCGAATGGAACTTTATCTGACAATTATTTTTTATATAAAACATCATTTGCTTTAAATTTATTATAATCACACCGCAGTTTAATTTAGCCAAAGATAATTTGATATATGACTTTACAAATATATAGAAACACGTTTGAAAAGATTATTGTATATTAAAAGGGTGTTGATCTTGCTGTAAAAGTTAAAGCGTTCCCTGAAGACTTTCCATTAATGGCCGGAAAGAATTCTGTCAGCCTGAAAAGCAACTTCGTCTAGCACTACACAAACACGAATTGTAATCTCTATATGTGTTTGGTTTCGAACAATAAAAACATCAGTGCGAAGGGAAACGAAAGCGTTAGTTTAATTTAGATTTAGTTACTAAGAAATTACCATAATAACTTTACCGGTAATACAGGCGACAATCTTGAATGAATCTGAGACAGAATGACATGATGATAAAGACATTTGAGTGAATGAGTTTTCTCGCCATTGAAAAAAAAATTTACTTTCATTTGCTTCTTTGAGAAAGTTTATATTCGTTTAGACGAAAGAATAAAGTTTAAAAAACATAATTGTTCTTTATTTTGATAATAAAACATCCAAACAAACCTCCACGAAGATCATTTTTATTTCTTATTATATAAGTCATCAAGGCCATCACAGGTGTTTGTCTCACTTGATAAGTCGGTGATTGCTTTTATATACTCAAAAGGGTGGTCTTGAATTAAGGAGAGAATTTTTACAGACTTGAGATCCATTAAAACTACGAAATAACAATGGGTTTAGAAATAAAACTTCAATCTAAAATTATTTGAAACTAAGAAATTCAGTACTTCAAATTCCCACGATGCATGTCTTTTCAGAATATCTAATAACCATATGTTTTTAGTTCCAGTCTATATATACTCAGTATACTAGCAACTTTCCCGCTTCTAATAGCGCAGCGCAACCGTGACGTCATAAAAACGAAGACAAAGGCGAAATTCGGACAAACAAACTTACAAGTTTATTTTCAGCAGATAATTTTCACAGCCGATCGCAGTTGATCTTAGTTTACATGGGTTATTATTATAACTTTAAGTAAAAATAATAAAATCGTTTCGTATAATCCTCGTAGCGGTTAAACAGAATGCAATGTTTGTCCGAATCTTTAAGCTATTTTTAGAATCAGTGCGCTGCCGAGACCCTTCAGCCAATGATATCGTGTGAACTTGACATTATACTGACTTCAATGTTTTCAATCTATAGTTGTTGTTTTTTCATTTCATTTTTATTCTATTTTATTTATTTATTTTATTTTTACAGATATACATTGATTATGTCAAGCTCACTCTAGTTGAGATTGAAATACATATGCTGCTTTGATTAGCCGAATCAAAATTAGAGAAGACGAATAAAAGTAAGGATCCTTTTACGACATTTGGAAATTTTTTAAATCTTGTTTTAACCTAGACCCTTTTCTAAGATTTCACTTCACTTCACTTGCCTTGAATTTCAGCTCTGAATTTCAGCAGTTAACGAAAAAGAACATGCGTGGAAATCAATTTGCGACACGTCATACGTAGCCCTACCTCCAATCGATCACTTTGGAAACGTAGTAACATCGATTGACAACAGTCRCATGCCAGCAACGGCCTCTTGGATAATGCCGAGAGTCTTCTGGGTAGAGTTGCGCAATTTTCTTAAAGTTCGTCAAGCAGGGCCGTAGGGAAATACCTGATGAAGTTATTTTAAGACTTTGTCACAGGCAACCCATTAAATCATATTCGCCGACCGTCTAATAGTTCCTGTTATGCAGTGGAGACAGTGAAGGTGAAATCTGGCTGAAAGTCTTATCACGTAGCTATTGTTGCATTTAGTTTTTTAGTCTTTCAACAAGGTATTCGCCGATCGCATAACTGGAATTCTCCGGAAACGTCTCAGTGCCGAGTTTCAATCAAAGATGATGGTTTTAGCGTGTTTTGAGAAGTCCGTAGGAAATGCCTTTATTGAGAGATATTCCTTTTTTTACCTTTTTTCTTTCCTTTCCTTTCCTTTCCTTTCCTTTCCTTTCCTTTCCTTTCCTTTCCTTTGCCTTTCTTTTATTGGGTAGGGACGTAAGGGAGGGGTCTGCATATAAAAAAAGAACACTGACCAATATTTGGTGACAGACGGAGTCAGACAATAGAATGAAAAGAGCACCAGTTTAAACCTGTTTTCATAGTGTTAATATGTTCCGGATCCGATAAATAAGTCATTGCAGTCAAAGCTTGCAAAACGTCCAAGAACGTAGACCTAGAACACTAATTCTGTTATTATATTAAAAAAAACACAATTACCAGAAACAAATGAGCAAGAAACAAACCTGAAAAGATATTGATTGTCCACAAGGTGAGAAAGAAAATAAATAAGGCCGTTATAGGAATCGGTTTGGTAATTGGTAAGTTGTCTTGTATATTATATCGACCTTAGTGCAATCTGTTTTTCATTAAAGTAGTGTCAACAATCAGAATCACTAGAATATGAAGAAGTTTTTCATTCTAAACCATTTTCATTTTTTCGGTGACCCAGTCAACTATAGACGCCGAACGTTTATTTTTGTTTTGGCTTCCGTTTATCGTAAAAACAACAAACCGAGTTGATGGAAGCCAAAAACTCGAGGGTCAATTTCCTACAATTGCAAATCATAAGAAAAACCGTAGATTTATTATACAGCCAAGAGAAGAAGAAGGAACAAAAAAACAAGAATAGACCTCGTGTCATTCCCTAAAGTATCATTTCTTTGTTTAACGGTTACGCTCGGTAGCACATGAAAGGACACTATGAAATATATATATATTGGATACAAGCGATAGAGTGCAAACAATTAATCCGTGAAACACTAATTACTAAATAGTACAAAATAGTGTTAATTAAACAATAAAAAACAATGGAATTTGCATGAAATTGTGCTATTTAGTATTACTAAAGTTTCACGGTTATATTGTTTACACTCTACAACTCAAACAAAAGAATCTTATTTTTCAAGAGAAATGAAACGTTGTCTGAAATGCATGGGAAAACATTACACCCGAGTCGAGGAGGTCTATTGTCAAAAATATTAGCCAACGTTCGGTATTTTGGTCGAATGTGAGCACGCACAAAAAAAAAGTCGAGTCGAGGCTCTGTGGGGAAAGAAAAGCCAGAATGATTACGACTACGTCATTGTTTCCTAGTCCGGAGCCTCGACTTGAAATGTTTTGTGTTGTCAAGGTTTTTTTGTGGTTGTTGTGCTTTCCCATTTCCAAGATACACATATTTGCAATTTATGTCTATTTACTGTCTTTACTATCACTTAGTTGTGAAAAAAGACAAGTACTGTTAATGTGTAGTAGACTAATAAGTCTACGTATGTTGCTTACGATTCCGACGCCATTCTGAACCAGTCTTACAATTCTTCCTCCCTAATTTTAGGGAGGACCCGGGTGGCCCTAGAAATGACCTAACGAAGCGACTACAGTATGATCCAACTCTGAATCACTATTATTTTTGCAGGAAATTTCCAACTATGATGGCAGCTCGTAATTTTATGGCCAAGTTGATTTTATGTGAGTATAAAAATAAACAATTCACCATCTTCCATACATCTATTCACTGGTCAAAGGTTCAAATTTGAATAATTTTTTGAAACTGCCTTGGCGCTTCGCTATGTGTTTGACCAGTGAACCGATGTATGGAAAGTGGTAAATGTCTGGTTTGCTTTTATTTTGATTGATATACGGACCTTTTCCGAGATAGGGAACATATGCATTGTGGTGTAGCTTCGGTACAACCATCTTTTGATTTGCATGCCTTATATGGTGTTGTTTGTACCAAAGCTTAGACCACAATGGATCCGGTTAATCGAACTCAGGAAATACCTATGGCAATGCCAAAACTTAGATTCAACCAAGATATGGTGACTATGAGAATTAGAAATTTGAATTCCCCCTAAACTAGTTAGATAACAAATACGATATTGAAATTACGCCTCTAGCTTTGTAGGATGTATTTTCAACCAAACTTACCCTAAACATGCATTCTTGTTTTACAGTGCTAATGGAAAAACCGTGGGGACCTCGATTAGCACTGTAAATCATTTGAAAGCACTTGTATATATTTTAATTCACAAAGTCTGTCTTGGCAGGTCTGACTTTACAAGGTGTAATAGTTTCACCGATGAGCCTTGGTCTTGATCGTCAACGACAGTTCATTCAACAATCCATTGAAAGTACGGTTTCCAATGCATACGATCCATTCATTAGACCTTACCAACAACTCAAAGCCGACAAAGCTGAAAACCCTTCGACCGAATCCGCGCCGAACGAAAAACCCCCAAGCGAAACTTCGCCGAATGAAGAACCCTCCAGCGAAACTAAGCCCAATGAAAAACCCTCCAGCGAAGCTAAGCCGAATGAAAAACCCTCCAGCGAAACTAAGCCGAACGAAAAACCCTCCAGCGAAAGTACGCCGAATGAAAAACCCTCCAGCGAAACTACGCCGAATGAAAAACCTAATTCAGAGGGGGAAAAGAACAAAATGGGAAGTTTTAAGATTGATGATGGAGATGTCATTGGTAAGAAGTTTTACTAAACTAGTTTCTTTCCTCATACATTTTCTTATCAGTGCGCTGAATCATGTGGCTGTTTAAGAAGACGCCATTTTTATTCAATATGGCGGAAAACTTAGAAATGATTTCTCTTGAATAACAGACTGAAAACCAAATCAAATGTGACGCGATTCAAAAAACAAAGCCTGTAAAACGAAAAAGACAAATGGTGTTCCTTAGATAGCCCCATGACTCAGCGAGGCTGCTACTCGTTAACGTTTTCCGCGCGAGTTCGGAAAGGCCAACTAATGGTTTGCTTGGAGAGCATCTCTTCTTAGCATAAAATTAATTTTGAATATATTTTGTCAAATGCGCATGCGTAACATTGTCATTGGTTCCTTTCCAAAGGTGGCGGAATATATGAAATTAAACCAGATGGCATGGTTGCCATGGATATCAAACTCAAGATTAGTCCTGGAGCCTCCTCCCCTGCGCTATGTCCAGCCCCGCCTTGTCCATCAGAAGCTCCAAAATCAAAATCAACGAAAGCGCCCATCAATATTGAAAACCCACCGACAACAGTAACCCCAGCACCAATTGCGGTCACCGCGTCAGGTAAAATACCGGAAGAAACTTTATATTCAAAGCCAGAATCCAGTTCCAAAGATGAACCAGTGTCCAGTCAAGTCAATGTAGAGGGGCCGAATGAACATAATACAGCCAAAACCTTCGAAGCTGCCAAGCAAGACGTAAAAGGAGAATTTCCAAAAACTACTTCAATGACCATTAAGGAACAAGAGGTGAGCACTCTTCCTTCAAAGGAAAGTCTTACACCTATTACCAAGGACGAAGAGAAAACAAAGGCTTCGTCTGGTGGGTTTGGTGAGTCTCGTAAAGCACTTGGTTCCAGTGGTGAAGGTGCTACGAGTTTATTCAGTGATGCTGCCCAAGCACGACTGAAAGGTCAGAAAACTCTTAATTATGTAACCATGAATTTTCCGAAAAAACGCATGTAAAATTGTCGAAATCCATTAATCCTCACGTACCCTTCAACGAGTGAATAAAAAGGAAACTTACATCGTGTAAGAATTTTGGTATATTTTCATTTTTTATAAATCTTACATGTTTATGTTTCCTTATGAATATAATTATCAATTGAAGGTAGAAAGGGTCTAACGCTACTTACTACTCTACCGCCACGACTTGCTTAATCTGCGCATGCACAGACAGAGCTTCATTCTATTGTATAACTTGGGGTCTTTTGTTGTTTCTATTGAATTACTGTAAACTGTGTCCAGTACCCGAAGAAGGAGCTCGGTTTTGAGGTTGGTCACTAGACTTGTCCTCAGTTTTTACATGTCGAGCGTCTCGTTTGAATGCTCTCTCCTGTTCTACGACAGTACGGTTTTTCTTTGGGTTCACTAGTTTTCTTTCCTCACTAAATTCGTGAAATACGAATTCTAAAGCTCGATTTTATCTCGCTTCGAACGCTCGATTGATCATCTTGCTTAGCTGACTTAGCAATCATTCACACAGCTTGTCTGGTCGAGATTTGGATAACGAAGAGGTTTAAAGGTTTTGCATAATCACGTGCAGGCGCGGCGGCCATGTTTAATGGCAAATCAATAAAATCCTTTTCTCCGGAGAATTGAATTATTCTTTATTGAAAAAACTTAAAACGATCGTTAGAACAGTATTTTCTTTCCCAGCTATCGTCATTAGTATCAGTCCCAGTCCCTCCAAGATCTGGGGAGAGGAGACTAGTGTAGGGCTGTCAACCCCCGAGATATTCAAATCTGGAGATATTGATAGGAAAGGGACATGACGTCACAGCGCGTCAAAAAGCGCGCGAAAAGACGTCTTTTGCTTTGTAACATTTGATGTGATTGGTTTATTTCTGACAAATCAGATTAACGCTTATATTACAATGGCCTGCTTGCAAGAACAGTTTATGAGGAACGTTTTGATTTTGTTAGCGATTTAAAATAACACAAACGTGACACAAAATAATTGGAATTTTATGGTTGTGAAAGTCGAGTCTCACAAGACAAGAAATGGTCAGCTTTAGGGATTATCCGGGAGATTTGATACTCTAATCTGGAGGCCGGGAGATACGGTCCAAAATCTGGAGACTCCCGGTTTATCCGGGAGAGTTGACAGCCCTGCTAGTGACGTATGACTGCGAAGGCGACTAAGGAAATCCTGGCTGATTTTGACACTTTTATTTTTCAGCGATTAAGCAAAATCTTCGTCTGGGAAGTAAAAACCTGCCAGAATTAAACAAACTACAAGCTGCCTTATCTGATGCTGCTACAGCATGGGCCTTCAACTATAGGAACGCGGATTTGGGCAGAAGAAGTGATTACATGGCGAAACCTCGCCGCATCTACTACACACATCAGAACTATGTTCCTATGCAATAAGAGCTTTTACTGGTAAGTCCGAGCGACGCATTTCCAGTTGCAACTGCTCAAAAAAACCTCTATAAAGCAAAGTTCTCTCAATGTTTTAACCCTCGCCTGAATCGATCAACAAGACAACGAATCCTTTAACGAAAAAAACTAACAATAGATCTTCGTTGATTTTGGACCCTGAAGGCCTTCTCCCATTCGATTGATGACGTACTTAAACCGTCTATAAGGCTCAGGTCAAACGTCGAACTTCACATGCATGAGCCAAACCTAATTACATGAAAGAAGACCGCCTTGTTATCATTTGTTTACATTAGGTTCGGTTCATGAGAAGTTCGACTTTTGACCCGAGCCTAACAGCGCTAATCTTCAACCAAGGGCCTTTGTCGTTCACGGCCGGGTTTCACATGCATAATATATATATTATATATATCAACATATTTCCAAGATGGCGTCTGTGCTTACTCAACCCAGTTTATTCTCAACTTTGGAACGGCTAATACAGTATGAAGTCATTTTGTTGCGAGAAATGCCCCTGTTCCAGTGTCCTGGGAGAGTTAGACCGAGACTGTCCGGCGGAGGAGCATTGGTGCCAGAATTAAAGTCTCTGAGCACCAGGGTGATGAAAGTGATAAAACCAAGAAGAAAAACAATACAGTAAATAAAACAGTAGTTTATTGTATAAAGTCTTTTGAATATACAATCCATATTAATAACCTTAAATTGTATGCTTCATTTTAACTCTTAATGTAGCCTTTGATGAATAAATATAAATATTATCAATCGTATGTAGTCATCACACAACATTTAAAGAAACACTTGCATTAAAAAATGTAAGGGTGGTACGCCCTTGCTTGTCACGTGATCATGTGGCGCCTAGTTGGATGGCTAGCGTGGATGTTTTCAAACCTTGTTTCCCGTTATAAAGTATTTGGCCATTCAACTGGGCGGGAAATAACCACGTGATCAGCAGATGCTGTGAATATTGCCAGTCTTATTTGTCGCACAGAGAAATATTCGAATTACAGATATTTATCAATAAAAAAGCTACAGAATTAGGAAGAATGCTAATCTTACAAAAATGGCGATAATTTCAGATTTCATCTCGTACAAACATATATGCCGCCAAATTACGATAATATTCTAGTTTTTTTATACAAAAAATACCTAATTGAAATCTATTTTATTGTGACTAAGTTAGCAACTTCGGTGGCGCTCGTTTTCAGTTTACTTTCTTTGGAGCAAGCGAAAATTTTCTGTTTTGGAAGCAACCAAAAACATATGAATCCGCTGTCACTATGAGGGCTGGTCAGCAGTTCCTCTTGTAAATTGAAAGTCTTACAAGTGCGTTGAGCATGGGCAAGCAAAAGCTCGAATACTAGAAGAGGGAATTTTTCTTTCCTTTCTTTACAAAATATTTTTTTAACGTTTGTTCCAAAACACTGCTTATGTGCTTGTACTGGCGGGCCTGCTAATCATAAGAAAACTTTTGCTTGTTCAGAAATAATCAAAATATAGATTGCCTACGAAGCTTTCTTACAAATACTATTATCACGACTGCAAAATATTAAGTATATATATTTAGTTGGTTAACACATTTCTTTGCTTGCATGTGAAGTCATCGCCGCCATTTTGGATGACTTTTTTTCGTTGATGATCGTCATATGTTCTTTTCGTTTTAGAAGCTGCGTATTTGTCATTTCTCTTTTTTTTTCAGTTGGAGCTACGCCAAGCCAAGTGCTTAAGTAGGAAAATCTAGTTGATTATAAGTGTGTGTCTGGTATGGATATTCTTCTTAGTTCAAAGTGCTCTGCTCCACGACCATACGGATCTTTTTCATCATCAAGTTCTGGGTCAAAGTTTCCTCCCGTCTTCAATGCAAAGATCAAGTCATCAAAGTCTTGGGTTTCCATCTCGTCTTCAAAGGTCTCGTTTGCTCGACCAAAAGAACCAGTATCGTCCATGTTGATCATCAACTTGCGGTTACTACTTGGCGTTGCTACGTGATCAAGTTCATCCCATTCGCTCTGTAGATAATAAAATCATCCAGTTAGCTTTAATCATGGTTCTTGGGGAATCCGGGAGTGAAGGAAAGTCTTTTGCACCTTATATTGTCTATTTATGATGATGTAGCAATCAAGGCGTTGCTCGATACTGTTGGATGGTAATCTAAGTGCATTCCATTTTATTGATCTTGATAACCACTTATTTTTGATCAAAGTGAATGAAAATACTCGGAATAATATACGAAAGCCAGAAAGATTGATTATTATAGAAGTCAGGTTAATCTTAGTTTAGCTGTTTTATGGAATGCATTTCATTTTTAAAATTTCAAACGAAATTTAAAACTTGTTTGTTCAACTTTCAATTCAAGGATATTTGTCATTCTGTCCCCTTGCAGACCAAAAAAAGTGTGTATCTATTAAATATTGGTAGTGCAAATTCTACTGGTTGTATGATGAAGAAATAGAAAACGCGTTCGCGTGCTGTGTGCAGTTATAAAGCACGCAGGGGTTGGAATAACACGAGAGAAGTGTTAGGAGAAGCACGACAGTTACGGAGTGCATCTCGACACTTCTCGAGTGTTCTGCCAATTCCAAAGTGCTTTATAACTGCACACAGCACAGCAAGCAAGTTTTTATTTTTTATTTTTTAAGTTACATAAATGACAAAACTACTGAAAGTGCGCGGCGTGCTGTGTGCTCTCATAAAGCACGCGCTCCCAACCAATCAGAACGCGAGATTTAGAACAGTTGTTTTATAATAAGGCATGCAATATATTTTTAAAGGAGTAAAGGAGCCACTAACAAATTTAGTTTTTCTAAGTAGAATCGGTTGGCCTCCATGTGTTGACGTTGATTCTCGTATCTGTGTGTATGGGTTAAATCGATTAGAATGAATGATAAGCTGTACCCAGGAGAAGAAGAAGGGTGGGGAGGGGGTGGGGGATGGGGGGTTCTAGGATGTCTATGGCCCTCCTTCTCATTGGCATTTGTGTTACGTTTACAGATGTTTTGGGGTGACGAGGGAGGGATATATTGCGGGTAGGTCACTCGGGGGAATGACGCCAAAAAGGGGAACTCCGGATACAACTGTTGAATGAAAAGTTTCAAAAATGTCTGTAGCAGATTTCTCATGACTGACAAAATTGGCTCTTTCTTGGTGTTGCAGGGCACCTTAGGCATGAAGACAATAAAACAAAAGCCGAGAGCAATAAGTTTGGAGCTAAACAATACCCTGCAATACAATAACCCGAACCCAGAATACAATACATCCTGCAACCCATCGCACAAACTCCGTAACATTCGGATCGAATTAGCAATGCCTGCGGATTGAACGGTTGTCTCGAATACCGTACCGTGACCGTGCGTGTTGCGTGACTGTCATACGAAATCTACACTATAGTAATTAGTTGAAAGTGAGTCATCCAAATTCTATTCGACAATGTTTGCAGGGTGAAATGACTTAACTGTGTCTCGTGTCGATTCTGCCGGGCTCGGCGTCGTACGTGACTAGAGTCGATTGTTAGTTCTCTCCTGTGCTTCGAGGGTTTTCCAGGTTCTTCAAAGTAATGGGCCGTGAAAAATTGGTAGGACACGGAAGAGGAGAACGACATAAAAGCCTTCGATCCTACCGACACTTTTGGCAATAATTAGTTTCCCTAGCCGTTTAGCGCACTGGTAGGTGGAATAAATAGACTTACCGGCATCTCGGGAGATTGTCCCATCTTGAATCTTTTCGAGCTGCCTGAACTGTGTTCTGTTCCCATCTGACTTCTGAAGAAATCATCGTGGGTTTGGATTGGGGGCGGCTCCCCCCTGAACGCGTAGGTTTGCTTGAAGACCCCACGTACTTGATTACGTAATACGAAGAAGAGGATGAAAACATAGAGACCCTGAAGGATAAAGGATATTTACATACAGATCAGCGCAACGATATTCTTAACCGAAATGTCGAGGAATATTTCAGTTCGCGTGCTTACGTACGTAATTTTTTGTTAGCCAATAGTAACCCATATTGGATACAAGCGAAAAACGTCTGCGCATGCGTTAATTCCTATTTAAATTAGTCAAAACGTCTTCATGCTATTGTAAAAATGTGTAAAGGTGGCTTTCAAACATGCCTGATAATTTGGACTTCACAAAATACCAAATTTTAAAATTACTTTTGAAACTTGAGACTAATTCTTTCATATTGACTTAATCAATGCAGTATCTTGGTATAAAAAAAGCCGGTATACTTGAGAAATTTTTTTATGCTCGGAGAAAATGAAGATTTATTTTCTCACTCACACGCTTCTAAGTTCTTAGAAAACGTGCTGAAATGCACGCATGCGCAAACGTTTTTCTCTAGTGTCACCATAACAAGTGTCAATTAGTATTATGGACCTCTATCACACGGCGGCCATGTTTATTCTCATGARAATAAAAACCTTTGTTTCCCCAGCATAAACTAATTCTTAAACGCTTGAATTTGAGGCTACGCGTGGTGGAATCTATTGTTCAATCCAACATTGAAAATACTTACTGTAAAATGCCTGTTGCGATTTATAATTCTAGCTATTCATTAAAATGTTATTTCTCTTGTAATGTATGTGTATTAATAGTACATACCAGTATGACGTCAAGGATAACGAATAAGATAATCATCCACAGGTAGCCGTAAGCCAGGTGAAGACCAGCAAACAACCACGTGATGGCTACACCTATGAACAGTATGATCACGTTGCGTACCTCTGTTGATAACAAATGGACACAATATAATGTAAGAATGAAATAGTATCACCGCTAATACGACTGTTCACCAGTCAGAGAGTGAGTCAGTGAGTGAGTGAGTGAGCGAGTCAGTGAGTGAGTGAGTGAGCGAGTCAGTGAGTGAGTGAG